ATGACTGAAAAATTTCATTTTTTCTGAAAAGGTGGTGTCTATTTACTTGTGACCACGCTGTGTAGATCAGAGAAAGCATCTTTCTACAGTACTTCGTGCCATCAAAAATATCAAGGGAATACGAATTGAGAAGTTAAATTATAGGAGTCTAACTAAGGCAAGAAATCTGTGTGAGCGTAATGAGACAAAACTATGTAGTAATGTGAACATAAAAGGAGAATTTTAGCTATTTAAGAAAGTGTTTTCATGTAGCTGGTTTTGTTTTATTCTTGTTACATGTTCTGTAATGCCTGAAATGAATTTGGAAACACCTTTGATATCGCTGCCAGTGCCCAAAGGATAAAAGATTTGTTGTTAGCTGCATACCTGTTACAGGTTTGATTTATTTCTTTGGAGCTGATACATTAAACGCTCCAGAAAACTTGAATTTGTCTAAAATAATTCAAATCAGTAAACTTCTCTTGGGCAAAATTTAAATGTTTATTGAGAAAATACAAATTAATGTAAATATATATAAACATTTTAAAATCAAACAAAATGAAATAATACAAAAAAGACCAAGACAAGAGCAATTATAAAGTGATCAATCGGGATGGAATTCATGATTCCAGTGATATCCCCAGATGAAATGGAGTTTAATTTTTCTATGCATTTGTATGAGATACTATTTGAATACTAACTTTGATACTGAGGTTTGGTAGCAGATCTTGCTAGTGTTCTTTTATATTCAAAATTTTATATGCCGTTTTCGTTTTGATTTATTAAACTTTTTTGCGTCAAAATAGCAAAGCCTAACAATTACACGTTCTTCGCGTGTTTATGATTAATTATACTTTCATTCATATATTTGGTACTGCTAATCGTAAATCTTTAGGGCAGCTGTCAGTTTTTCGAGCACCTAAGAACAGAAGTTAACACGTTTATTTTAACGAATCAAAATTTTACATTCGCTGGATATTGAATATTGTCAAACATTTTACCTATTTGTTGTTTAGTAAAAACTAAATTTCCAAAAAAATAGTCATTGTTAAAACTATTGGTAATTCTCATAGAGTATCTTCAGGATTCTGATTCATTTTAAACCTTGTCTGTCCAAGTAACGGGAACAGAGTGTGCACAGTGGGGGGTGGGGAATCACCCACTTATTTTTGAAAAAGTAACTGAAATCAATTAACTCGTATTTAATACTGTTACACATCACTGCATATTAATTAATAAATTCCACGACAGCATATTATTGTGAAACATCCATACAAGTGAGGTTTTTCTGGGTTTTGTTTAATTATTGGTATTATCATTAAAACATTAAAAACCTTAACATCTGCGCTATCTATCATTATCACGTTTAGCTTTAATTGTATTTTATTTTAGTTTTTGATTTCTATTTGTAATATGTTTCTATATGGAATATGAAACAGTGAGGAACAGAATCTAACCTGGTAAGGCAACGTTCGAAGCTGATCTAAACAAATTATATTAACATTAGATTAACAAATATTTAAACACAACAGCATATATGGAATCAATTCCAAGGCTAGCGACGAATACTATTGTTTAGAAAGGCGGATGTAAGAAAAAGCCACAATAAAGACTGTTAATAATTTCAAAAACATTACTCGTACGTAGTTTGACTAATACATCAGTATGACAGCGGTAAGTCTACGGATTTACAACGCTACAATCAGAGGTCGATTCTCCTCGGTGGACACAGCAGATAGCCAGGTATGGCTTTGTTATAAACAACCACACACTTGACCAATACAGATGTGCTAACAAGATGTTTTGTTATAAGTTTACTTTTGATTGTAAAAGGGCTCATTCTTTCTTAGCCTTGGTGTTGTACACGTAATCTGATATCAGCAAATGAATGATGTACGTTTGTTTGTTGTTAAGCACAAAGCTACACAATGGGTTATCTGTGCTCTGCCCACCACGGGTATCGAAACCCGATCCTAGCGTTATAAGTCCACAAAATTACCGCTGTGCCAGTAGAGGTAGAATGATGTATGTATAGGGCTTTAGTTATAATCCTGGGTGTTAAAATCCACCCTACATGATGAGCATGGATATTGTGGTTTCGTTGGTAGCAATTTACAAGAAACAGTTGGATTTCATTATATATTTTTACTCACTACTAGAAGCCCCTTATTAGGACAGTTCAGATTGAGAGTGGAGTGTTTGGATTGCTATTTTTTTTCGCTATTCTATATTAATTTTGTTCTCTCGATCTTGGGTGTATATATATATATAATGTGGGTAAAGGTTATTACTGTTTCTTTTTATTATTATTAGAAGCTCTGAATTTTCCATGTGTTTATTGAAGAATATTTTTTTCATTGTTATATGAAAATGTTTGGAGAAAATGTAAAATGAAATATAACTTTTACTTGATCATTAACTTTTCATTTCTTTTTGGTTAGGAACTCGCCGTCATCCTTTGGAACTTTAGAGACAAATAAATACAAAATGTTAATGATGTTTTCACTAGATAATCTTGCCATTTCTAAAAGTAAGTTCCTGTAATTCACTTACTTATTCTCATTACTTCTCTAGCTCTTATGCAAATGTTATAACCTTTATAAGTTTTAAAATTTTGGAAATGTAAATTTATTCCTTCTTTGCTGTTGTATAAAGCTTTCAGTTGTGCATGCTTCATTAATGAACTGGGTTCCATAAACCAAACCTGATTACGAAACTATTTATTGACTGTATTATTTTATGACAATGACTATCAAATGTACTTCATATTCTATCATGTTGAACTACTTGAACAAGAATAAAAGTAATTCAGTAGTTTTATTGTTGAACAAACTATAGATGGCTTAAGTTACCCCACTATTATTTTTCCTGTGTATTTGGTAGGTCATCCTTGGCTATTAAACTAATTTACTTCTACTGATGTTAGATAACTTTGAGATTAGTGTGATAGCTAACTGATGCTATAGAACTTTTCAATGTTTATAATTTCTAACGTATGAAGGTTAAATAGACATAATTTGTTATGTCGTTTAATTTGCAGTAGGATAATCAAAGTATAGACTTTTAAACTATAAGTGGTACCTATGAGAGTCTTTTTTTTTTATTAAGCTAGAATGAAACATACAAAAAGTTTTAACTATTTTTCAGGTTCAATTCCCTTCTATTGTTGATCCGTACCATTCTGCTATAACAAATTTGGCATAAGTTTAAAATATACAAATCTCCATTTTTCTCCAACATCAAAGTGATAATATCATATTTAGACTGTTCATTTCTTTCATTCAGTAGCATACGTCTTAAACTTACCTCAGTAGTTGTGAACTCATAATATGTCTGTTGAACTGCACATGTAATGGAATAATGACCTCTGGTTGAAGTGAAAGTATTCATAGCAATTTCTTCAACACTATCTTTAATATCAAAAGAACAATTCAATGTTTCACGAGTGGGCATCACAGTAATTGTTTCACCAAATGCAAGTGCTACTATATTATAGTAGTGTTTGTTTCCTAAAAATCAGTAGCACAGATTGTGATAGTTCACTGGTGTGTTAGAAACAAACTTAAATTAGAAAAAACAGAAACAAGACGTCAGAATCACTATTGGAAAGGTCTTTCAATATATTTTCTATTTCTCGTATTATTTTACTCACGAACTTTTGTCCCCCTGTCTTCGCTAATTGAAATGTCAAAGTATCTTATGTAAATTTTTTGTGATAAGATTGAATTATTAAGAATTTGCAGCTCTTTCAGTTTATTTTGTCCATAACAATGGTTGTCTCTAAACAAGTAAAATTGTTTGTCAATTAACAAATAAATTCCTTTAAAGGTCCATTTCGAAGTAAACAACACAATAAAACAAAGTTTCTTAAACACAGTATCATACAATTTATCTGTTACAGATTCCGATGCTAATATAAAAAAAGCAATGAAGGAAATTCAAAATTTGGAGGATGATATTTCTTTATTGGGCCGAATCAATGAGTTAATAGGAAACCTCAACTGTCAACATCAGGTAAAATTTTTTTAAATAAATGAGTTAATAGGAAACTTCAGCTGTCCATATCAGGTAAAAATTGTTTAAATAAATGAGTTAATAGGAAACCTCAACTGTCAACATCAGGTAAAAATTGTTTAAATAAATGAGTTAATAGGAAACCTCAGCTGTCAACATCAGGTAAAGATTGTTTAAATAAATGAGTTAATAGGAAACCTCAGCTGTCAACATCAGGTACAAATTGTTTAAATAAATGAGTTAATAGGAAACCTCAGCTGTCAACATCAGGTAAAAATTGTTTAAATAAATGAATTAATAGGAAACCTCAGCTGTCAACATCAGGTAAAAATTGTTTAAATAAATGAGTTAATAGGAAACTTCAGTTGTCAACATCAGGTAAAAATTGTTTAAATAAATGATTTAATAGGAAACCTCAGCTGTCAACATCAAGTAAAAATTGTTTTGTTTTTCTTTTATTTAGAATTCAAAATATTTTATAGCCTGACTAGCATGACATTTTCCTCATATTCGTTTCTAACTTTATATAAACCTAAATAATTCTTAATTATTGTATTTATTATATTTTCCGGCTTATGAATCAAACGTTATTTTAATGACTTAACTTTATTCTGTAGATTTTGGACGAAGCAATTGAGGATGTAATGGGTACAGTCAGTAAGCAATTACTTGAAAAGCAGACCACTGACCCGCTATTACTGAGCTTACAACTCACTGCTACGTTACAGTAAGTTTTCTTGTTATGTTACACTGCATTTCTTGTCACACAACAAATTTCCTTGTTTACTATATATCCCCCTTTTTTTTTTTTAGTTTACAGGATATAAGGTTTGTTCTAATGGGAAAGTGGCGAAAGCAGTTAAAATTATTGTCCATATCCAAATTTATTTATTTTAAAATTGCTTACACTGCTGACAAGTTTCGTAAAAAAAAAGTGGCCTGTGATTCGAAACGAGGGAATGACAGGAAATTCCTCCATTTTACCACAATAAGATGGTTTAAACAATAAAACTCTTTTTCAAATCAAATGCCATGTCAAAAAACAATTATTGTTAGAAAATGTTTTTCATTATAGTAAGTCGAGTGATGTATCGAGTTCAGTTCAGTTAGTAGTATTTTTGGTACTTTAAATTTTAATGTTAAATGAGGCTAATTTGTCTCGCTAGATTTCATCATATTTGTATTTAGTTTAGTTATAATCTTGACCCATTTCATCATTTCACATAATAGGTATCTATGCTTAACGCTGAAATATAACATGACGTAAACATTTTGTTTTGTTATTATGTTTTACAGACTATTAAATTACATTTTAGTCTTTTGACTCGATACTTGTTTATACATTTCGTTTCCAGATATTCCAAAATAATGCTTGTTGCACTGCTTAGCCTACCTCTGTCTGGTAGATGTTTTTTTTTTATAATGAATGAACATTTTCAGATTTTAGTATTTTAAAGAAAGATAATTGTAGAATGGAAAGTATTACAAAATATGATGATTGATGTAATAACTGAAACAGAAACATAACTGAATGCTAAAGATAAGAAGATGAGCAATTTTTTTTTCGCCTTTTATAAGCACAGCATTGTAACTAGTATATGGTAAATGAAATATGAATCTGGTTTGTTTTAGGGGAATTCCTGTCAGTTTTCTCGTGTGATCCTGAAAAACAACGACACTTACAATATATACTTTGCACATATTATTTCTATATTTTGCTTTCAGGTATTTTATTCATTAGCATAAATCGTG